CAAAGTGCAATTCGCGATTTAACGGTAGTTCGGAGACTGATGTCAATGCTTTTATTGATGCTATTGTGGTATACAAAAACTGTACGGGTATTTCTGATGAGAACGCTCTCATGGGACTTCCTATGTTGCTTGATGGGTTCGCTGCGACGTGTTACCGTGGAGTCAGAACTACTCTAACTGACTGGAACTCAGCTATTGACGTATTACGTTCAACTTTTGGTCCGATTAAACCTCCTCATCGCGTATATCGTGAATTATTTAGTAATGAACAAGGCACTAAGGTCAAAACCGACGTTTTTATATGTAAGACTAGGTCTATTTTAGCGCAGCTGCCTGCCGGTACGTTGACAGAGGCTATACAACTGACATGGTGTATGGACTTTTAAATCGCAGATTTCGGGAAAAGGTTCCTCGCGATAAAATACAAACTTTTGGTGAACTTCTCACTCGTGCGCGATTAGTAGAAGAAACATACGATAATACACCGGAAAACAAAGTGTTTAGCGAATAAAAACTTCCGTCTCAGAAAAAACTTAGATGCGTATATTGTAAATATACAGGACATTCTATCGAAGAGTGTCGTAAGCTAACAAACAGTAGAAATAAACCTACTAACGCTGCCCCTTTGGCTAAAACGGACTTTGTTGTTAAAAAGGAGCCTACTTGTAATAATAATTTTACGTCTTTCAGTATAACCATATGTTATGGCTGTGGTAAACTTGGCTTTATTAAAAGCAATTGTCCAGATTGTAGATCTAAAACAGCTGACGCTCGTGCTGCAGACTTTATGTACAATACTTTTGATGAAAATTTAACCATGGTCAGACCGTTAGTTTCGATTGATATTTTTAATTATAATGGTTACGCTTATATAGACACCGGGGCTAAAACCAGTGTTGTCGGATCTTCTCTTGCTAAACTATTATTGCAGGATAACGTACCCTATACTGAAGATATCATGTTAATGACATTAGCAGATGGTCTACAACGTCGTGTAAACGTAAATATTTTTGAAGTAGATATTAAGTTACAACATAAAACTATTCTTACACGTTTTATATCTGTACCAGACCATGAAAACAGTCGAACCTTGCTCGGGTGCGACTTTATTCAACAAGCAAACATAATTTTAGACTTACCTAGTAATCAGTATTATTTTGGTGAATATCCACAACTCACTTTTATTTTTGACACTGATCTAGATCCTTTATGTTCTGTTAATAATGTAAAATTTGAAATATCAAACTACGAGATGATGAAGCACTTGTTCTTAAACACGAACAAAAAAGTACGCTTAATGACCTTTTGCATGAGTTTAGCAAGGTTTTGAGACAAAGGTTAAACCTACACCTTATGCAGAACATTACATCGTACTATTAGATGAATCTCCAATAGCATCACCTCCCTACAGGATGTCAGAGACCGAGAAAAATCAACTTAAGGAAGAACTAGACAAACTATTAACGAATGGCTACATTGAAGAGTGTGAGTCTCCTTACGCTGCTCCAGTCGTACTCGTTCCGAAGAAAAACAATAGTGTTCGTCTCACCGTTGACTACAGAGCCTTAAATGCAGTCACACGGGCAGATCGGTATCCCATCCCAAGGATAGATGATCTTTTACACGCCGCCAAGAAGACAGGATGTATGACAACTCTTGATCTTCGTAGTGGATATCATTTGGTTAGCGTCAAAGAGAGTGATAGAGACAAAACTGCTTTCGTGACACCTTTTGGTACTTTTAGGTATACACGCATGCCTTTTGGACTCCGTAATGCGCCATCTACTTTTCAGCGTCTGATTGACCGCTTCAGATCAGGCCTGCAAGATGTCTTTATACTAGCCTATCTTGATGACCTAACAGTTATTTCGTCCAGTTTTGAAGAACACCTAGGAGACCTGAAGAAGGTATTCGAAAGGCTGATCTTATACAAACTCACACTAAATCGGGAGAAATGTTCGTTTGTATGTGAAATAGTGCACTACTTAGGCTACATTATTACCCTCGAAGGAATTTCGCCGAATAACGAAAAAGTAGCTGCAATACTCAACATGCCGCCTCCTAATAACGTGAAACAACTCTTAAGTTTCTTACAAACTTGCTCATGGTATAGGCATTTCATAGAAAACTTTGCTGAGATTTCAAAGCCGTTAAGCACTCTGACGAAGAACTTTAAATGGACCTGGGGCCACAAGCAACACCAAGCTTTTGAAGCACTTAAAACTCTACTGTGTTCGCCTCCAATTTTAAGACAAGCGGACAGCAGACTACCCTATATATTACGCACAGATGCTAGTGGTTATGCAATCGGTGCATGTTTACTCCAGGGGGAGAACGACGATGAACGACCAGTGGAATATGCATCTAGACTCTTGACTTCCACAGAGCAGAACTACAGCACGACGGAACGGGAAGCTCTTGCTGTCGTGTAGGCTGTAAAGAAATTCAGAGGTTACCTGGAAGACGCTACTACCACTGTTGTTCAAAGCGACCATCAGCCCCTCAAATGGCTGATGTCTATTAAATCACCAACCGGACGCCTCGCCAGATGAGCTCTAGAATTAATGCCTTATGATTTGCGCATAGAATATATTGTTGGCAAGAAAAATGTGGTTGCCGATACACTTTCGCGGCCACCACGCAATGAAACTGAGATAGTAGAAGTAGAAACAATAGAAGTAACCTATGTTGTAGCCGATTTTCCTACACTTAGCGCTGCCGATATTCGACAAGAGCAGGTTTCTGACCCTGATATCGAGAAAATCATAAAAGGGCTTGAAGACTAACGAAACTTCTGTTGAATACAAAAAGTGGGTGGAGAGAGGATATGTGATGTCATATGGACTTTTGTACCGCTAAACCTCAGACATTGATGAAGACGAGCCACAACTTGCAGTAGCTAGTGCTCGTATTCCACAAATTTTAAAACAATACAATGATGCTGATACAGCAGGTCATTGTGGTGTCGAACGCACATATCAGTTGGCTTGGTATGCGCAGGACAATCGCTGACTACTTACGTAATTGTATAGACTGTCAGAAATTTAAGCCTACTAACTTAAAACCAGCAGGCCTACTACAGACGCCTATACAGTCCCAACGCTTCGAAGTACTTAGCATAGACTTGTTTGGACCATTACCAGAGACTGCAGATGGTTACTGCTGGGTATTCATAGTTGAAGATGTCGCAAGTCGATGGATGGAACTCTTTCCAATAAAAACTGCAACCGCTGCCGCATGTGCCAAGTGTTTAATCGACGAGGTCATACTGAGGTACAGATTGCCTCGACGGGTAATAAGTTAAAATAGCGTACAATTCGCTGGATTCGTAATGCAAACGGTCGCAGAGTGTTTCGGTTTTAAACAATCGCTGATTCCTGTGTACCACCCCGCATCAAACTCTGTTAAGCGTAAAAACCGCGACATGAAAACCCAATTAGCTATGTAACAATAAAACACTGAAAACTTTGTTTTCAAACTTCCACAAAATTTATTTTAAATATTATCACTACAGCTGTTTCGCTTGAGAAAGGCAATCAGCCGAAACAGCTGTAGTGATAATATTTAAAATAAATTTTGTGGAAGTTTGAAAACAAAGTTTTCAGTGTTTTATTGTTACATAAAATGAATTTCCATCAAGTAACGGTCGAATCCATCAACCAATTAGCTATCTTATCTAAAGATGATCATACGATTTGGTCAGATAAACTTTCCGCCGTACGTTTCGCAATGAACTCTGCCAAGTGTGAATCCACAGGTTTTTCACCGCGTATCTAACATTTGGACGCGAGTTACGCACCCCGGATAATGCCAATCGAGACTTTCGTGCGATAGTGCAGACTGAGAATTTTGTGCCGCAAATCACTCCGTATTTGCTTACTCTTAGTGATACGTTACGCGCCGCGCGCGAAAAGCATGAACTAACCCAGGACCGTAGTCGACGTCGCTTTTAATGTGGGTGATCAAGTTCTCGTGGACACTCACGTCCTAAGTAATGCAAGTAAGAATGCGTAAATCTAAATTTGTACCGCGACGTGATGGACCGTATCGCATTCTTCGTATAGTGACTCCTACAACCTACGAAATCGCTTCTGTCAACAACCCAGATGCACCTGTTGAAAATACCACGTATCTGCGCTGACGCCCTATCGTGCAGACCCTGAGAAGCCCTCCAGAGCCCATTAGGCCTATCCGTAGAAGAGGACGCCCTAAGAAGAATACCACCTCAATAGATTCTTGCCCCACATTCGAGACGATTATGTGGTGCAAAGGGGAGACTATAACAACCACCTGTGTATTAACCTGTAATCCCTCGTACTATGTACCCACTAATCTCCCTTACTATAATCTTCGTGGCTGTGCCGACTGCTCGAGCCGACACGAAGCCCCCCGAGAGATGCAGTTGAAAGAGCAAGCCAACGAAGAAACATCCCCGCGCTATGAATTTTATTTTTATTGTCAACTTTAATGTTTTAATCTCAATATAATTTACAGTAACAACTGTTTAACGTGTATTTCGTGTACCTACCCCCCAAAATTCCCTTTAATATATATATATATATATATATATATATATATATATATATAATATATATATATATATATATATATATATATATAAATATATATATATATATAATATATATATATATAAATATATATATATATAAATATATATATATATATATATATATATATATATATATATATATATATATATATATATATATATATATATTTGTAAGTTTGTGCATGAATAATAAATTTTAAATATACCTACCAGATTCTTCTAAAGTTGTATCTCTTCTTTGGTGGTACAGGATCCAAGATATTGCAATTTTTATCAAAATCTTCCATTAAATTAAAAAAGAGCTGCAGCCTTTCAACATTCTCAACAAACTGGTTGTACACTGCTTTTAAGTTGGAAGACTTTTGAAATTTTTCCATTTCACAAGGTAAATCATACTCTACTACCTCAAAAATGTTCCTGTCATTGTAATTCACTTTATTTCTACACTATGTTCCCTATTTAGTTCATCAAGCATTGTTATATTAATTTTACTCAAATCATAGGCTAAATAACTTGATTTTAAGTTTAAATAGAACTTTGTGAATTCTACATATTCATATAAAACTTGCCTATAAGTATCACTATGATTGGTAAGTTTATTTGTTGGAATTTTCAAGGAAATGTGGCTCTTAAGCATGTCTAAAACCATCACTATATCTGTAGCAGTAGTTTGTATACTATTACTAAATTCTGCATCTATGAAATTCAAGTTTTCTCCTGCTTCTAAAATGAAATTTTTTTGAGAACTTTGCTTAATGGTTAGTTGGTAGTCTTCATCCTTAAAAGAAAATAAAAATTAACTGTAGTGTGGTGTCTATTTTAGCCATGTTGATGTGTATGTCATCACATACAAAATAAATAGAGAAACAAATAATTAATTGACTGTCCTTATGAGTCCATTTCAAACTCAGTTGTAGAAAAAAATTACAGACTTAACACAATCTATTTATTTATCTAGCAATGACCAGTTTTGACCACTAAGTTTTCTGGTCATCATCAGATCACCACTAAAGTACATTTTTTAAAATGATTCTGGTACAAGGTTTATTGTTAATATGGTGTGTATCTAATGCTCATTTATGCTAAAGTTTTATATGTGGGTGTTCAGCTTATTGTACATCGGCCCAAAAGGGGATGTTTCTTGAGTCTAGAAGCTCTTTTGTGTTGTTGTGATTAATTGGAAATTAAATAGATGTTATTGTTTGTAACCATATAAGTGATGTATTAATGTAAAAATTTAATATTTTAACTCAATTTTTGTTGTAGCTACATGGCAGCTCATATCTGACACATACTAATAATGTACGCGAGATATGCGGCATAGTTCTGACGGCGAGATAGGTAGCCGTGCGCAGTTTCAAATTCATTCTTGTTGAAATTCTGAACCACGTGAAACAGTGCTCGAAGTTAGAGGATATTTTTCATAGTAAAAACATTTTTTATGGCGAGAAAAAATTTAAATTTATTGTATTGTGATATTCGATATCTGCTTAGGTAAGTACAAAAAATTAAGAATGTTGAAAGTCTCTCGGAACCCTCGAAAAGGGTTTGTGCTATATATGGCACACTAGGAAGTTATGGACTCATTGATTGTTTTTGTAGATATAGATCCGAAACTCTTTTATGGTACAATGAATGCAGTTAAAATTCCAAATAGTACTAATGGTGAAGAATCAGATCTCTCCAATAAAGACGGCACAAATAAGATAATATGGTGTCAAGATAGTGGACAATAAGGAGCGTGAAAATTTACCAAACAATGTCAAGGAAACTGTCATTTCTGCCACATTCTCAGATTCATCTGATGATGATACCCCTTTGTCTGAAAGACTACGATATAAAAAGAAGAAATCTCATAATTGGGTGAAAGGAAATCTGAGAAGATCAGAAAATGATACAAAATTTACTGGTTCTGAAAATTTACCTTTTTCGATTTTACAATTTGAAACTCCGGTCCAATTTTTTAAGTTTCTCTTTCCTTATAGTCTTATAGAGCATTTCACAGACCAATCAAATTTATACTCAACTCCAACAACGTCCCGATAAACCAGCTAATATAAAAAAAATATGAAATAGAACAATTTATAGGAATTACTATTTACATTTCGATAATTCAACTTCCATGAACAAGTCACTATTGGAATACCAATATTGGCCACCGAACAGTTAGCGATGTGATGAGCTGTAACAGATTCAAAGAAATAAAAGGTTTCTTGCATTTCAATAACAATGATGACATGATTGAAAATGATCAGCTTGGACATGACAGATCATTCAAAATTAGACCTGTTCTGAGCCAAATCAAAGAACAACTACTCATTATGTTACGAAACGTTACGGTTACGGTTACGAAAGAAGATTTTCTAGCTGTAGAAGAACAGAATATACCAACAAAAGCGTGAAGCCAGCTAAAACAGTATAACTTTGTGCTGAGTGGTATTTCGGGATTCAGCTATGACTTTAATTTGTTTGCTGGTTCCCAGAGTTATATTGTACCTCTAGAAGCACCAAATCTTAGTATGAGCAGCAACATGGTTGTCAAATTAGCAGATTTGATACCAAAATGTCAACATTACAAGTTGTTTTTTGACAATTGGTTCATCAGCATACCTCTTATGATATATCTAACTAAAGAGGGCATTTTACTTTTGGGAACAGTAAGACTTAATCATGGACATGGCCAGCATGGACACACATCCGATACTAAGAATAGCTCAAGATAGAGAGCAATTTGCTGTAGGTATAGCCAACCTTCAGTAATAGAGAAGTCACCTTAAGAAGAAGACTTAATCATGTTTCTGGAGTTGTGATGCCAGATGAGAAACAAATGAAGAAGCGCAGCAGAGGTCATATGGTAGAGAAAATAACCAATATAGACAATGTGGATGTCAGTATAGTGTCCTGGTTTGATAATAAAATCGTTACTACAATGTCAACATATTCTGGAAATGAATGAAAGGGAGAAAAAAAGAAGATTTTTCAAACAAGAAAGTATTCATAAAATGATATCTTGTCCTACAGTGTCCTAATCTACAACAACTACATGGGAGGTGTAGATCTCCTGGATTCCATGTTAGGATCTCATCATATAAAAATCAGGTTGAAGAAATATTATTTACAAATATTTATTTATTTCATTGACATGGTAGCCGTGTTGGTTTTTAGCTGAGAGAGCAAAGAAATTTGATTTACCCCTTTTGGATACCAAACTAGCCAATTTAACAGAACAGTCAAGACCGTCAAGTAGTAGCACCATCAAGCAAAAAGACAAAAGAGGGAATGTAAAGGTAGTGGAGGCAAAAATATTGTTAGACAGAAAGTACAATCTTTAGAGGCCACATTAAACAAGGAAAGAGAGTCTCTCTTTGGCGCATTCACATTTCCAGATATATCTGCCATCAGAGGCCACTTTTTTGGTCTCCCTTTCATAAGGATTAGATTCCCTCTTTTGTCTTTTTGCTCGATAAGTAGCACTCAGTAGATATACGAAAACAAATGAAAAAAGAAACTCACTAAAGAAATACCCCAAGAAGACATCTGTAAAGATGGGCTTGATCATTTTCGCTATTGGGATGAGAGCACTAGGTCAAGATGTAAATTTCTAGGCTGTTCAGGATAAATGGAAAAATGAAAACCTATTTTTAATTTTGATTTAATTTCGGTAGAAATTAGGAAATGGGTTGTAGACTTGTGAGTTCCTCAATATTGAAATAAACTTATTAAAAGACAGAAATACAAAATTACAATCAAATTAGAAATATATAGAAAACGCGTCACACACAAGAGACCATGGACGTATTTATACGTCCATGCAAGAGACTACACAAATTGTAGATTCAGATTAATTATTTCACTACATTGGAGAGCAGATTGGATTTTTAAGGAAGGAAGACAGCATTTCTTGTATTAAAACTAGTATTTTTTTATTGTGAAAATTTGCTATACTTACATTTACTTCAATTATTCCCTTGTATATTATTAAATCATCTTCAACCCTTTTTGATATGAATGGGTAGTTAAGTAGGAGTTTAATCTCGATTTCATCTTTTGGGTCCATTTTACCATTTCACAGCCTCAGATTTGAATTGAACATTCACCTAAAAGCAAAACATACTGATTTTTACAACTGACACTGACAGCTGTTTGAACTTTTAAATTAGGTTGGCGACATTAGAAAATATTGGCTGACCTGTATACTGATTTTTAAACAGACCCTGCCTACTCTACCGTTCTCGTTATTAATTATAAAACATTAAATACAAGAAATACATGAAATAAAATGAAAATATTGGGATAATTAAAATTTGTTTTATAGTACAAGTAAAATTATATACATTGCATTTATTAAATATAATACATAGAAATACGATACATAAGATTACTTAATATTAAATGATTATAATGTTGAATATTTACATTTTGAAAAAGACAATAAATCCAACCCTCTGTAAAGATATTAAGATACAAACTATTTACAGTCATTAGTAATAAGGAAAAAAAGAAGAGGAAGAAGAAATGCTTAACCGCCAATACCCGAGTCACAAACTTGTGAGAGTGCAAGTGACGTCACAAGTAAGGGTCTCAGGGACGTGGCGAATTAACCTCCAAATTCTTATTTTTTTCTTAAAATTTAAACTAGTAAATATACAAAAGAATGACTTAAATCAGAGAACAGCATCAAAAAGCGTTAATAAAAAATTGAAAAATAAAAAAACAAGAATTTTGATGGTTTTTTTGTATATCTACCTATTTAGAAAATTAAGGTACATCAAAAACGGATAAGATTTCTCTAGTTACATACATATTATGAACATTCAGATCACATAATAAAATGCATCGTTTAGATTAGTCGGAATCATCAAAATTTATCATGTTTTCCATAAATTAATCGTTTATATGTTTAACTTCTGCATTTGATTTACTATATATTTTATTAGCTGATTACACATTAGTGAGAGAATTGTAAGAGCAGCAAGTGAAACTAATGTCAAATTACTAGGAACATTGTCGAATCTCATGATATAAAGGCTATTTCAAAGATTTGTCTCACTTAAATCTTAATCTAGAAAAAAGAGCATATAAAAATATACTGTGAATACTTGGCATTTTTTTCCTGGAAGTCGTCTGTTATAAACCGGTCATACTTCAGCCAATTAGCTTATTGTACACCTTTCATTACTTCATGATACCCATTCCAGGATTCTGGAAACCTGCACCAGCTTATACGGATCTAGTGAATGGGACCATATATATTTGGGGTCCCTTCGTTCTCTCCAAAAAGTGTTTCAATGCCTCGCAGTCATGTAAGATATGGTTGACTGTTTCAGGATCTCTATTATAGGGTATGCAGATCAAGTCTCCATGAAACGCTCCCATTGTACGCAGGTGTCCCTTAACCAGCGCCTGTCCAGTAAAGAAGCCTGTTATGACTATGAGCTGATTCCTGCATGTTTTCCCCAGTAGTTCAGCCCTACTAGCACACGTCTGTCCACTATACATCTTGCCATGTTTTTGACCAGATATATTTTCGCAATGTGAGTTATACTGTCTTGGGGATACTCTTCTGGCAAAAGCATCAGCTCTTTCATTGCCATATGTTCCCCGATGCCCTAGAACCCATACGGTTATGTTCCACCAGTCTGTCGAGTCTTTTTGACATTCCCACACTAGCCTAAAGTCCAGCTACGAGAGGTATGAGAGTCCCTGCGACTTCCTGGCTATCTGTGCACGTATTGATCCACTTCAGTTCAAAAAGTTAATTTCTTTTGCACAGCAAGATTGCAAAAATCTCTGCCTGAAATATAAAGTACAGTCCGGGTCGAGTGTTTTCTCTGTCCCATTCCTCTGCTGAATAGATGACATCATCATCCATTCGGCATCCCCAGTTTCATTTATTATATTAGTATCTAATCCTATCTAACTGGTACGTTGCTCGAATTTTTTTAGTAGACTCTAATATTAGGGCTTCCATAGCTGTCGTTAGTGTGCCCCTCATAGCTCCTCTGATTACGAGGCAAGCAAATCTTTGTACCTTGCTTAGTTTGAGGATAGCCCTTTTGCCCCCCCCCTTTGGTCTACATACCACTAATGCATATGTAATTGTGGATTTTGCCACTATGTTATAAATCAAATATAACATGTCTGGTTTTACACCCCACATTTTTCCATGAGTTCGTCTGGCTACCATTGACGTGTTTACCGCTCTCTGGGTTATTTGTTCTATCCCTCTAAATTTCTCCATCTCGCAAATTTCATGATTTTGGACTTATGTTAAGCCCTACATTTTAAGTCCATTCTGGTCCAAAGTCAAAGCCTGTTGCATTGTATCACACTGACTGTGCCATTCAATGCCCTGGCTAAGATGACTAGGTCATCCGTATAGTCCAGGACATGATGTCGGTCGTTGCTGAGTCTAGCTATCAGTCCATCCATGACCAGATTCCACAAGAGAGAAGATATAATTTCCACCTGCGGACTGCTTCGTACAAGGTATTGTAGAAAGCTTCCTCGTTATCTAGAAATGTACCTAACATCAGCTCTTGGTTTTCGAGAACGTACTCCACTCTCTGTAGGGTGGTGCCACCCAACAAGATGGTGCAGTGCCTTTTCTCTGGAGACCCCTGCTCGATACACGTACTGTCCCTGATGTATCGGACTTTCAAGCAATACACCATCCCTAATATGCCTATCGGGTATCGAGCAGTTTTGCTAGTCTTCAGTATGAATGACATTAGAATTATCGGCCGAAGGGACTTCCTCTTTCTCCATCTTTTTCCTGTCCAATTTTGCCAGTTTTGGGTACAAAAGCCACCCTTATTAGTCAGTCAGTCCTAAGTTAGTCTAAAATGTACCCTAAAAAGTTCTTATTTATTTTAGTCTAGGGCATATCTTTGACTTTATTTAGATATACATGGATTATTTTGATGCAGGACAACATTAACACACAATTCTTTATGGAACAATATTGATAACGACAACAATGGGTCTTTCTTTATCTCAAAAAAATTATTCTAAAAAAACGGTGGCGGAATATTAGACACACAAATATAGAGCAAAAACTAATCAATATTTACTTACAAAACAAATTCTAATACTCTTATTTTTATGTTTGGAAAGTGAATATTTGGGAGATTTACATCGTTTTTAAATTATCCTAATATTTGGTTCTCAAGTTTATTCATCTCAAGTTAATTGGTGTGCTACAGCTACAGCATCAACATCTGGATAGGTACAAAAAACAGTGGTGTAGAATATAATAATATTATTTGTTGATAATTTATTTTAAAAATTTGCATGCATTTCAGTTGAGTTCAATGACCAATACCATTTATGATCAAGGTAATAGAAGGGTAGTTAGTAGTTGTATGTTTGCGAGTTACTCTTATCAAGCTATGTTACTTTTGAGATAGCGTAATAGAAAACATTGGAAATGTCTATAACTGATTATGTAGACGGATTCACTAGACTAGAGCAGATAGGTATAATACCTATATCCCTTTCCTATTATCTATTGTTTTGTTTGTGGATTACCATGGAAAATGTCTGTGTGTACTATCAAACTTCTGTGAAGTATATAATATACCACTTCCGTTAAACCTTGTTTTCACTTGAAAATATTTTTGATCCTATCAACCATTATAAATTTTCTTTTACTGTTTCTAATTGGCTATTATGTTTTCACAATTTTCGTATGTTTTACTTTCTTTCCTAGGTTTCTTATCACCATATTCCTAATGTTTTATTTTATTTGTTCTCTATTTTGCAGCTTCATACTGTTTCATGATTTTCTCCTAATGGAATTAGTAAATAATTAATTAAATCCTATTTACTGTCTCGAGAGTGATATCTTTTTTCTTGGAAATGTTTTATAAACTTTTATTAGGTACACTTCATCTAATTTATATAACGATGCACGTCATCGGCGTCATAGCCTGTGACGTCACATGATACCAACAAAATATTTAGGGTGTAGATGTGTTCTTTTTTAGAATCACTTTACCGAGTACACTGACATTACAGCCACTAGACATATTTTATTATATTACGCGTAAAAATCATATTTTAACATTTCTATAATGTTAACTTGAAGAAATACACAATAATATGTTTCATTTAATTTGTATAAATGCATTATAAAGCGTTTTTATCAAGAACATTTGTTCGGAATACACTGTAACTGTAATCGAACGAAGGTAAAATTTTGGCATAAATTGGTAACACTTATTTGACAGTTGCGATGTTGACACTTTTTGTACTTCATTATTTTGAATTTTAAAGTGAATATCTCTTGTTTTATATTTTTAACTATCTAGTAAAATCTGTTCTTTTTAGAACAAAATAAGTGTGTTTTATTTCAAAAATGTCACGTAAGAATTTAAATAGTCGTTGTAAAGAGATGGTAATGCTTTTGCAATAATTATGTAATCTCTTTGATTTAAAATGGAGTCAGGATTTTTTTATACTTTGGCAACTATGTCAACTTCGATCTCTGACGTAGATAATGACGTAAGTCGTTATCTAAATTAGATGAAGTATATTTACTAGTTTTTTTTTATGTATTTCCACAATTTATTTTTAAATATTTTACACGAAAGGGATCGGATGACTCAAACCAACCATTATGTAATGTGATAGATTTGTTGACGTTAAAATTTAGCTCTAATTGAATGGTAGCACTAAAAATAAAAATCTACATTTTATATTTATTCCTAACATTAAAAAAAGCAATACTTAGGTGGAAAAATGTGTAAAAAGGGGGAAATGCAAATATGAAAATAATCGTATAAAATCGGAATATTTATGATGATGGGATGATACCATTAATTTTATATACGTTAATAAAAAATATCAATTTATTAAATGATGAGTTTTACACATTTTCTTAAATTATAGTATGAAATAATTGATTTACGGTTTTCTAGCGTCTCAACTCATCCCGGTATAGATGAATGGAATGAGTAGCACCCAGTCATAAGTTTCTATCTCTTATAGTACTGCTCATCCATCAGCCGATCCGATCCACCGGCATATTCTAGTTTAAATCGCAGACCCATTTTG